GCAAAACCTTTTAGAGATCATGTGCTCAAACTGCAACCCAAAACCCACTGATTTATTGCAAAGTGCCAACACTGCAATTACACCTGAAGACCAAGGTTTTAGCTTCGAGAAAACAACATGGCCACTTGGTTCGCGTACCAACAGAGAGGGCTGTGTATACTGCTGCAGCCCGAGATGTGTTTACTACCACTGCCAGAGGCCCTAAGGTGACTCTGCACTCAGGGTTGGAGAAGCAGCTGAGGTTAAATGAGGTCACAAGGGTGAGGCCCTGGCCTGACAGCATTGGTGGTCTTCTAATAAGAGGAAGAGTTAAGTCCTTCTCTCTGTCTCCATATACACAGGCAAAAAAGAAAGGCCATGTGAGGAAGGCCACAGCAGGAAGATGGGCTAGGGAGACAGCTGAACAGGAAAGTGACATTTTCTGGCACCTTGATCTTAAACAACTGGCTTCTAGCAATGGAAGAAAATGAGCTTTCTATTGTTTAAGCCTCCTAGCCTCTGCTCCTCTGTTTTGTCAGGACAGGCTGAGTACACTAACACAATATCCCATTGCTTCCCAAGTTTACAGTTGTACTGAGCACAGGAGTCCTGTTTGGAGAGCCAAGGTAAATCTTAATCCTTCACTGCTGTGGTCCTGATGGAAGAAGGCAGAAGCCAGTGTTTTATTCGTGTGACACTTGGGGCCTTGACATTGAGGGGGTCACTGTCCTGAGACTGAAGTTTGCTGAGCCTCATCCTGGTCTCCACCTGCTACTGCCAGTGGCAGCCCCCACCCCAAGCTGGGCCAGTGAAGTATCTCTGGACACTACCGAGAGGGGAGAAACCACTCCCCACTGAGAACCACTGTCCTGTACTTAGCTATCTGGGGACAGCCTCCATTAGACAGACAACCAAAAGGAGACATAAAGAATAAAAACAGCCTCCTTTGATTTGCAGAAAGAGCGGGAAATGTGGAAATTCTCAGGCTCCTTTGTGGTCAGGCCACAGCCACAGCCAGGAGCCATTTTCAAGGATTTAATTCTGACTGCATGTGTTAACCGAGGTCCACCCAACTTCTGCTGGGAAGAAAACCGCTGGCCTGCCCACTCTCAGCTAGCAAGGGGACACCCAGCACATTCCTGGCCTCTTAGGTCTGAGAGGAAAGGAAGTAAATTGTGAGCTGTTTTGGAGAAAGCAGGTTTGCAGGTGTGACACCCAAGGTGTGTGTGTGCGCATGTGCATGTGTGTGTGTGTTCTGACCACTGAAGACAAATTTCACTAGAAAGAAAATAACTATTGAATAAATGTGGACCACAGATTAGAAGGAAAGAAGAAGAAAAAGAGCAAGTCCTTCAGTCAAACAGAGTGAGTTAGGGTGCTGCAAAGGGCCACTGTTCTAGGGGCTATCCACCTGAATTCTATGCCCAAATCAACCCCAGGAGGCTCCTGGAGGGTTTGGGTAGGTAGGATTAGCAACACCCACTCCACCTTTGGGACTGGACCTGGTGCCTCTTGAATCGCCTCTGAGTGTGTGCAAACCCCACACTCAGGCTGCGGTTTAGCAGGGTGCGCTGGCCAGCTGAGACCCACAGGAGGCGCTGTCTTCTCTCTGTTACTCCTAGTTCTGGTCACATGCTGGCTCCAAGGCACCTAAAAACAGTGGAGACCCCACCTCCCAGGGATGATTTTCTGGATCAAGTGTGCCCTTAGATTTCATGAACAAAAAGGCACTGAAAAGAATGGCCACTCATTCTTGTCACTGAGACCTCAAAAAGGACAGAATTCACAGCCAAACAAGCGGTGCGTGCATGTGCGTGCACACATGCTCGCACGCACACACGCACCATCACCACCACCCCAGACTGCAGCTGAAAATCAGCATAGCATGGATGTGGGGGCTCACAGAGCAGCCCCAGCCCCTTCAGGGATCAAAAGCAGTGCCACAGATCAGCTTGCAGCGGCGCCCCGCTGAGAACATCCTTCCAAAAGGGGATGGATGAGGAATGATTCCTCTACCCACACCCTGGGAGCCCAATCTGCATTCCAGGGCAGCAGACTCCAGACAGACAAAAGCACAGGATGGGACAAGGTCTGAGCTCTGGGTCACCGGGCTGCATCTAAAGTCATTCTGGCAGCACCACACCCTGCAGGACTCCATCCTCATTCCTCTAGGAAAAGACAGACCTAGGAAGACGGAGAATTCACTGGCTGCCAGGAGCCAGATGGCATAAGGGGGCTTCCTGTCTGGATCATGGCAGGGTCACATACACCCACACACAGGCTCATACCACATGGCCAGCTTGCAGGACAGGCGTGCATTTCCGTCAATAGCGTTGCTCCAGAGCTGCTTTCTGGCTCTGGACAGCATGGCACCATCTTGCAAGACTGGACCACTGAGGAGAGGTGGGCAGAGACATTGGGACTCACACTGGCAATTTTTTGTGAGTCTAATGTGATTCTAGAAGAGGAGGCTTCTAGCTGGATGTGGTGGCCCACCCCTAATCCCTGCTACTTGGTAGGCTGAGGCAGGATGATCAAGAGTTCAAGGCCATAGAGTGGAACAGCACAGGGTTACACAAAGAAATGAAGTGTTGACACAGGAGACCGTAAGGGTGAACCACACAAACAATATGGGCTGAGAGAGTGATGCCAGACAGGCCACACTCCTGTGTGTGAGCCCATGCAGGAGACAAAGCCCATGAGAGGCAAACGCATAGAGACAGGAGGCAGATGAGTGGCTGCCCAGGGCTTGGGAGCGAGGCTCGGGGAGAGACTGCTAATGGGAATGAATTTCTTTGGGAAGCGATGACCTGTTCTAAAAATCGATGGTGGTGATACTGCACAAGTCTGAGAATATATAAAAAACCACTGAATTGTACACTTCAAATGGGTGAATTACCTGCTCTGTGAATTGGCATCTCAATAAAGTCACTACGACAACAACAGAGTCCGGTGCAAAATGCAATTCATCCAACCATGGGGTTAAGTCTTCGAGAATCCCATTTCACATTGTATGCATGGAAGTTGGACATGCAACTTCTTTCTTGCTGATATCCTAGCCAAAGACACTGGTTATTGCCCCTGGGGACCGGGGGCAGACTGGGAGCTGCATGTTACCTATTGCTAAGGTGGGATGCCATCAAAATTCAGTGTTCAAAGTGTGGCTGCACTGAAGACGCATGGCAATGCACACCATCACAAAGTCAAAAATCCATGAAACCGATCCATCATTAACTAAACCAGAGACTGTCTGCATCAGGATTCTGCTGTGACTTATTATTTTTCCTTCACTTGCGGGAGCTGTAAGAATCATCTCTGATGCTCTTTCGAACTACATGCTGCCCCACCATACTAAGAGGTAGTGTCCCCCAGATGTGTCCACGTAGACAAAGGTGCTAAGAATGAGGTAGGCAGGCCAAGTGCAAGGTCCTGGTACTTTCTTTCATCCTTTTTCCTATATCAGTGTCCCCCTTCCACAGGGCTGCTGCTTTACCTATATTCCCTTAAAACACTGCTCCCTTAAAACACTGCTTCCCCCTGCCTGGCTTATGTCTGCTCAGGAAGTCCCTGGTGGGATTCGCCTCTACAGGGCCATCAAAATCCTACCCAGCCTGCCAAGAGCCGCCTCCCCACACAACTCTACGTCTGCTATGGAGCCTGCCCTAGAATCCCCACACCTCCTGGAGGCGCCCATTTCTACCACACCCTGCAGAGGTCTCACTTCTACACACCTCAGGGGCACTCTCACAGAAGCACATGGGTGAATCCCACTCACCCCACTGCACACCCATAGCGATGCACACACAATGGGAGCGAAGAATGGGCACCCCAGTGGCAGGTGCACTGGGTCCTGTGAGCTATATAGAGGGTGCCTCATGACAGCCAAATGCCCAATTCCAAAGGCCCATGCTCTTCAGCTGTCTACTCCAGTGACAAACTGCACGGAGTGCAGTCTGCAGGGAGACACTTGCCCGAGTCCCTCTCACCAGCCTCACTAATCCCTGGGACAGGCCTGACGACAGGTTGGCTGGGAAGCAGGCTGGTATGCACTGCCACACCATTGTCATTCCTCAACACACTCCACGGGGAGCATAGGAGACAAGACCAAAAAGAGCTGAACAGATCTTCCCTTTCTTTTCTAGAAAGCAGAAGATAGACAAGTATCTTAAAAGTATACAGGAGGAAAAAAAATCACAAACTGCGCTACTCAAAGCAGAACAAATTCTAATAATTATCTCCATTCTTACCCAAAATTCATGTATGTGTGATTTTATGAGACAAATAAGAACTATAGGGTAAAGCTCAGTAGTAGAGGATAGGCCTAGCCCTAACCCTAACCCTAACCCTAAGCCCTAACTCTAACATTAAGGCTAACATAGCCATAAACCAGCGATAGAAACAGTCCAGTGTCAAAACCTGAACACAGCCCTAGCTGTAGAACTAAATCCAGCCATAAACTTGCCCTAACCTATACACTTAAACCTCACCCTAGCCCTAACCCTAACCTTAACCCGAGCATAGCTTTTCCCTTGCTATAGCAATAGTCCTACTCCAAAATCCAAACCTAGCCCTAACTCTAGGTCTAACCCTAGCCATAACCCTGTCTAACCATATTTCTAACACAATCTCTTACCCTAACCTAGCTTTAGCCCTAACCCTAACCCTAACTCTAGTCCTAACCCTACCCCTAGCCCTAACCCTAATCCTGCCCCTACTCCTACCCCTAGCCCTAACCCTAAGGTCCTCGGTGGTATCTGCAGCCCACAGACAGCACACAGAGAGTGGGCTGAGAACTGCCTACAAAGGTTCTCGGCATTCTTAGGTTTCTGAGGTTTTGGGATTTGTTTTGAGGGAGCAGATAGACACTCACTATTCCATATGATCTTGGGGGAATCACGTTTCCAAACCATAAAATCAACACATCATTTGTTTCTTAGGCACAGGAAAAAAAAATGCAGCAGGAAACAGGCTCTTTCTTCTTCACTCTGCAAGGAAGAGAGGAGCTTGGCAAGGGCACTTACTCAGAAGCAGGCGTTGGCAAATCCCTCCTTCGGCCCGCACTTTCTCTCTAGGCCCCTCGTCTATCTCCTGCTACCTGGAAAGGAATAACAGGAGAGTGAGGCAGGACTGTCAGCAAGCACAGATCCCATGTGCCCTGCCCGCTGCAGCCAGGTGGGCATCTGCCTTAGGGAGTGTGGTCACCCACTGCATGATGCCGCCTTGGTCCACCCTGGGCTAGATGCAAGGCAGTGTCGCCATCAGATGCCAGCAACTGGCAGTGTTGTGACCGCCCTCTTTTGCACATGTTCATTTTATGATACCCATGCAGGCACAGAATCACCCAAGGATAGCTGCTCAGAACAAGGCCCTGAGAGGTGATGTACCTCAAAGCTCATCTAGAATACCCCTATGGGGAGGTAGACAACCATCCCGGGGGGCCCAGGGCTTGCACTGGGTCCCATGCTCCAGCAACACTCCTCCAGTCCCTGCTCAAGAGTCAGCACTGCCTTGGCGGTTGAAATCGCACCATCATCTGCTCCATGCTTAAGCAAGTGAAGTGGAGATGTGGGCATTTCTAGAAGGCAGGGCAACTCAACAAAATCTCACAGCTGCCAAGGCTGCCCAGAGACCTGGGGAAGAACTTGCTGTGAGGAGGGAAGGATGACAAACTAATAACCAGATGTTCAAGTTCATTCAAGAGCAGTGGACCGGGAAGTGGCTTTCCACTGGGGCTCTGGGTGAAGCTCCTGAGAATCATCACAAACCTGAGCCCATGCACAGACCATGCTGCCAGCCTTCTACCACAGGCCGCTTGCATATCATACATCTGAGCAGAAATAAGGAGCCAGGCACCATGGTGTGCACCTGCATTCCCAGCTGAGAGGCTGAGGCAAGAAGATCTCAAGTGTGAAGCTGACGCTGGCAGCTTACTAAAGCCTGTCTCCAAATACAGTGGTGTCTGGGTTCACCAGATGTTCCAGTTAGGGGTTGTGAGGAGAACAATTACAATCAGGACACAGAATTTATATTATTTTATGATGGTCACCCAGAGTTAAACACAAAAAGAAAAGTGCAAGAAATCCGTCCATAACACTAAAGACCCAGAATATTCAGCCAAGGGCCTGGATCCCACAGCAATGTCCTGCACGAGTCTCAGTGAAGACCTAGAGCCCATGACAATGCATTCCATGAGTACAACTGGAGGTCTAGAGCCCATGACAAGAACTCATGGCAGTCTTTTTTACGGATCTGTGCTGGAAAGGCCCCAAGATCAGCGGTGGAAGATAGAAAGCCTATGGCAGCAGGATGAAGGAGCTGGGCTGGTAGGTTGAGGGTTCTACACTGGAGCCAAGAAGTCACACTCAAGGAACAGGGCTGTCCTGAAAAGTATCATAACTATCCTCAACAACACAGAGGTCCCGAGCTCCTCCAACAAGGAGAACAGTCAAGTACATGCCAGGAGATTAAACAGCATACATCTTCCCCTCTGGAGCCAGGAAGTCATGCTTGATGTAAGGACCAGAGCTCCCCCAAAGTGAACCACAGCCATCCTCACCAAGGTCCCAAGCTCCTCGAATGATAATAGTTAACTCACCTTGGGGAAGCTGCTCAAACAGCAACACTTAGGAGAACCCACAATGCCCAGCTCTTCTTCTACATGTCTCTATTTATGCTGGCAACTTTCCTCAGGTGGGCCATCTACAGTCAGCACTATGCTGATTTAATTCAGCTGGCATTAAGTTGACCATCAGTTTTTAACCTGTAACACCAATTCTTTCCATGATTCTGTTTGCAAACCGAATTGAATGAGAACTAAATCACATGCAAGGGTTAGGTTTAATGTTGACCTGATGGGGTAATTTGATTCGGTTCTGGTTCGCGACTAGAATTGTGGAAAGAATAAAACTTGTGAGCTACAGTTAATGCTGTGCAAAAGCAAAGGTCTGGGAATGTAGCTCAGTGGTAGAGCACTTGCTCAGCACCCACAGAGCCCTGGCTTTTGTCTCCAAGAGGAAGGGAGGGAGGCTGGGAAGGAGAGAAGAATAAACAAACAACATGCCTGCAGCAGGCCCTTTTACTTCCAATGAATGCTAACAAATCAACTCTGGTTAAGTTTCCTCAGTTGTAAAATAAGGCCATTAAATTATTTACAAGATTTCCTCCACATCAAAGAGATGCGAGGGGCCATTTTCCTGTCAGCTTCCCCTGTAATTTTTTTTTTTTTTTTTTTTTTTTTTTTTTGTCTTTTTGAGACAAGATCTCACTATGCAGTTTAGGCTGGCCTTGAACTCACTTTGTAGCCCAGGCTGGCCTTGAACTCACAGTGATCCTCTTGTCTCAATCTCCAAAGTGCTGGAAATACAGGCATGAGACACCATGCTGGCATCCTTTGAAAATTTAGGGGAAAATACTTGCCTAGAACTTACCTAAGAACTTGAGAAAAAAGAAAAGGAAAGGGAAAAAAGAAAGTTGTCCAGAGGGAGGGAAGGTGAGTCTGTCTCACAGCTGAGCGATCCTGGAGTTACCCAAAGGGTGCCTAGGTGTCTACATTCACCACAGTGCTTATTACACTGCAACTCCAGAGAAATCCAAATTGGGAAAACAATGTGAAAAATCTCAGCTATGTTTTCAGAAGCCACCGAGCATGACAGGAGAACGGGAGCTCCCTCCAGAGGCCTTGTTTACTTTAGCAGACCCTGATGTAACCTGAGCTGACAGGCAGGAGCCTCGGAGGGCACCGTGGTGCCCAGCCAGGGCGTCCTTAGTACCAGTTTGAGTTCTCAGTCCTGGAACTGTTTCCGGTATAAAATGGCACCCATGTCTGTACTGACATGACAGACGTGGTAACAGACTGCTAAGTCCTCCGAATCACCGGTTCCCAAGTGGTGGTAACTCTGCTCCCCAGGGAACCATGGCAAGGTCTAGAAACCTGGTGTTATGGTTGATACAGAGTCAACTTGAGCAGTTTAGAAGTTTAACTAAGAGGCTCAGCAGGGAGCCAGGGTTCTTACTTTGTAAATATCCTCATCTTTAAGGAGGTTTTGTGAATTCTGCACCGGCCCTGGAGGGGGTGGCCTGTGTACAATATTAGCCAGAAGAGGTTTATTTTCTACCTTTATGCTCTGGCTGCTTATGCTCTGACTGCTGCCTTGAAGTGTTGCCCCTGTGCCATGCCACCCTGACTTGGAGCCAGCTGACTGTGGATTGAAACCTCCATAGACAGTGAGCTAAATAAACCTTTTCTTCCTTCATTTGGGGTGCTGGGTATTTTGTCCCAGTAATGAGAGAAAAGTAACCAAGACACGTGATTTAACTGCCAGAGCTGGGGAGGAATCTACCAGCATGTAATGGGCAAAAGCCAAGATGCTGTCTAGTGGGTACCTGGGAAGACCCAGCACAGCCCCTTAGCAAATACACTGTTTGATGCCAACACCAATATTGCCCTGAAGAGGAGCCCTCCTGTCAAAGCACATCAACAGATCCTCCTATCATCTTACAGCGGGCATCCAATCCCATTTTTATTCTTTTCAAAGTAATACATGAGTGCAGCTTCTTAAAAGTATTATACAGGTGAGTCTAAAGCCTCTGTTTTAAAAATTACGAGCATCTGAGTTCCCTCAACCCTCTCCCCAATTCTACTTCCTAAAGCAACCACTTCCAAATCTCAGAACTGCTTTTGCTAGTGTTGGTATTTCTTGGTCCTAACCTCTAAGTTTCTGAATAACTTGCTTGCAATACTAAAAATACTTTGTGGAAATTCATTTCACAAAACCAGTTTCCAATATGTCTTACTGATCTTCTCACCTAGAGAAGATTTTAATTTTTAAAAATTTCTACAATCAATTCCATGCTTAACTTTCCACATTTTCCCAATCTTATGTAATTTTTTTGTTAATTCTATACACATTATTTTGACAATGGGATGGGGACTGCTGTACAAGCACTAGAGTAGGAATAAGGTTCACTTCTTACTCAACTTTTGGATTTTTTTTTGAAGTTACCTGTTGCCTCTGTTTTCCCCCCACTCTGGTTATTATTATTATTATTATTATTATTATTATTATTTGCCTAATAGCCCTGAGGGTTGAGCTCAGGGCCTTTGCACTGAGTTACATACTCAGTCTCCCTTTTAAATTAGTATGTGATACATAATAAGTGGACTCAGGTCCAGGAATTGGTACATAGACATACTGCATCTTAATCCTTTTTCCTACTCCCTCTTCCCCAGCTCCTGCAATCCACAAACCATCCCCACCCCCCCCCCACCCCCAGCATCTTCACAAAGTCTATTCTTTCCTTGGGCAGGTCTTGGACCTGGAACATTCTTAGATTCACTGTCTCACATGATCGAAATCTCATTCCCTCTTTCTGGGTTTACTCCCTCAGGCTGGTGGGGCCATGAGAGAAACCATGTGCGACAGCTGAGTTTTACTGACATTTTAGATGTGTACGAACATTGCTATTGCACCCTAAAAACTCACCAGAGGGCAATCTTCAAAATTCTGAGTGCAAATCATTTTCAAATAATCCTATACTGGACTCTGTGTTCTAACTTCCAGTGTTGCTGTTAAGCTGTTTACACAGATTTCGTACATGACTTTCTTCTATTCACTTGGTGTGAAATTCTGTCTTCTATAGACCGCAGACTTTGTGCAAGGTTTGGTGGCATACACCTGTAATCCCAGCACTTGGGAGGCTGAGGCAGGGGGATCACCTTAAGTTCGAGACCAGCTTGAACTAAATAGTGAGTTCAAGGCCAACTCAAACTACAGAGCAAGACTTTGTCTCAGAAAAAAAAAAAATCAGTGGGTTGCTTTTGTTTTGTTTTGTTTGGTGTATTCTCCCCTGCTCCTTACTATTAGCAAATATGTGAATAATCACAGCTCCTTTTCTGCACTGTATCTCAGAATCTAACAAGGTGTCCCCTACCTACAAGTGGCTGCTGGGCACAAGCAACATAGCTAGCAGGAGTGACAAACTCAATTCTTATTTAATGCCAACTAAGTTTACTCACATGCAGCTAGCAGCTAGCATATGAAAGCAGCACAAATGTAAAAACCTAGACAGAACAGAAAAAAAAAAAAAAGACAATGT